TATAAGATTCACATTTTCATATATGTTTGCATCATGCATTTTAAAGAGTTATTTCTATATAAATATGTTGTTAGTGATAGTGCTGCTCAAAAGAGAAAAAAGTGTCATCTGTCTAAAAAGGCAAGCAAAATGCTCAAATATATAAGAAGGAACTCAGTTTGTTATTTTAAAAAATTGGTTTTAGAATAAGCAAAGTATTGTTAAGTAAAAATTTCTATCTGATATTGGAATTTGCTGTTAGATTCCATTGACCTGTTTTTAGTATTTCAATTAAAATAAATATTCAATTAATGTTAGATAAGTCAACACTGAATGAGGAATATATTTGTAGAAATTTCTGGTATTTTGCTTTTTAATCTTTCACTGAATTTTCATTTTCACCTAAAAATATTAATAGTTTTGTTTTCTCCATATCTGCCAATCATCTAATCATTTAAAGCCATTTCCATGCTTGTGGGGTAAGCTGGCTTTCCTCCTCTTTTTTTTTTTTTTTTTTTGTTAGTTCATCAATACCGATCTGATCTGAAGCTGAGCTGTGTAATAATAAGCCTTTCACCAGCCAGACTTGACACTTGCCTTGTAATTAAGGCCTTGATGGTTGTGTTGATGGCAAATGAAAGAAAATGGCTTTGTTCTCCATTCCGAGGCTTGATTGCTGGGTTCTCATTCTCACCTGAATTCGACCCATTCTGCATTGTGCACATGATTGCTAGAGTGTGAGTAATTGCAGCACTGGCAGTTGACATTTTCACGAAGCACACATGGTAGTGCTCCAGAGGGAATTTGTAGAATTTATAGCTGGGGAAGCTCATCAAAGATGGATTTAGGAAATGCCTGTGTGAAAAATGGGAGCCCAACCAAATATCAGAGCTTTTCTTTTGACATTTGCCTTTTATATAAAGATCGCTTTCCACAACTTGCTTTGTCTTCCGGTGGCAGTCTCTAAAGCCGGAATGAGGATTGCGAAGAGTTAATGGTTTCATTAGGGCTAAAATTTCTAGTGGGGTTTTCTTGACTTACGAAGAGTAGAAGGGAAGAGAGATCTGCTCACTTTGTGATTTAAGGCCTGAAATGATGTGTAGCTGAGTAAAGAGCTCTCGTTTCTATGAGAACTTTTGCAAGGAAAGGGTTGTAAAATTTAAGGGAGCTTCATTTTCTTAGCCTTTATATTCCTCCTCTTAATAACAGCTAAAAATATTACCAATGGAAGAAATAAAACAAACAAATGAAAACAAAAAAACATCTACAGAGATTCTTTGGACAGTTTGTAAGCAAAACAAGATTGTTAGACGAGACGGGCATCATAGCTTTTTCACATGTTGTATAAAATCTTATAAATAACTTTTGAACAGAGAAATATTTTAAAAGATTCTAGCAGATTTTGTAAAGTATGCACCTATTCATGATATGATACATTCTGCTTTGGTGGATCACATCATCTTGATTTGATTAGAAATATGTGACTAATTTATCCAGCATTCCTTTTTCCCCATATCTAATGACATATATTCATATTTTTGTCAAGCTACAAAAATATACATACCCAAAATACATATTCTCTGAAACATTCTTAGTGAACCATCTAAAGTTCTTATATTTCAGTATTTTCTTATCGTGACATAGCCTACATCACTGCTTGATTCAGGTTTTTGTAAGGTTTATTGATCAGTCACTGATGAAATTAAAAACGTTGCATTCTTTGAATCGCTATAGGGAGCTGTGCTATTTAAAATGTAATACGCACTATGGATCCTTACAGCATATTTCATACTAAAAGGATGTTTTTAAATGTGGACTTGTTTCATTTAATGTCTTAAATGAATTCTCAACTCAGTGTTAATACATGATTTAAATTATGGCTAATGCAAAGGATCAAGTTTTTACTTTGTTGATTTTCAGCTTTATTTTAGGCATATAATTTTACTTGAATTTTCTATGGAATACAAAAAAGCAAATTTAAAAAAATCAGTACAGTCAGAATAAAAAAAAATATTATGTAACCACTTTGACAATGTGCCAGGTATGTGACTCCATTTTTAGGCATAACCCTATAGTATTTCCTACATAAAAGGTTGCAAGAAATTATTGAAAGATGTTGCAAAGTATAATTTAGTCACATGATGCTTATTCAAATGATAAAGTTATGTTCAGGGACAGTTTTAAAAAGCAGTTAAGTTCTTTTTGGCGTGGAGAAATTAAGGACAACTAAGGGTATTAATGCTAAATATTTTATTGCCAGTCAAAGTGTTAAACCTTTTTGTATTACTGCAATTTTGATTGGCTAAAATAGCAAAATAGTAATAAGTAAAATCTCTTGATTACAGAATTTGTTCCAGATGCATTAGCATCTATATCTCCAAAATTACAATGTGCTTTGTATAATTCAAAGTGTACGATATGTTTTTATAAACAAAGAGCATTTTAATAAAAGGTATTAAAGAATAAAGCATAAAAATAAGGAGCGAATTTATATATTACTAAAACTCTCATGTCTGTAACCTGTAACTGAGTGAAATGGTGCATCATAGAGTCAGCGTTTTTTGAACCAAGGTACCTCAGATGGGCTAATTTACAGAATGCAGTCATAATCTAGGGATCATGACTTACATTTGGGATTGATATTTGTCAAATTTTGACTGCTTCAGTGCTGCTGTGCTATGATACTAGGTAACATCATCACTAGCACTGATGATGTTATCTAGTTTGGTTAATGAAATGTCTACAAGAAAACAAGGAAGTTGCTACCCAGGTGTTTAGTAGACCGGTCTTGTCCTAGTTCTATGGAGGCTGGGTTGACTAGCTCCATTTTTAGCTACTGGAGATCAGGTAGACCATTCTCACCCTAGCTTTCTGAAGGCTGGAGGGACTGTCCCAGCACTGGCTGCTGGTGGTCAGCTGTGGTCAATCCAGCAGAAGTTACTCTCATTACCACTGTTTTTGTTTTTTTTTTTGCCCTTGCCATTGTGTTTCTCTGTTTAGGTAGAGAAATATCTGTGAAATGATGCAGTAGGTTACAGGTTGTCTAGTATTTGTTATTTGCAAGAATTCTGAATCGAGAGTTGGAATATGGTATTTTAACTGATCAATTCCACAAAATGGTTTTTTCCCCCATATATATTGGCCATCCAGAGAATGTTTAAAAATGGTTGGCTGTGAACCTCACTATGTCATGTATTAACACTGAGTTGAGAATTCATTTAAGACATTAAATGAAACAAGTCCACATTTAAAAACATCCTTTTAGTATGAAATATGCTGTAAGGATCCATAGTGCGTATTACATTTTAAATAGCACAGCTCCCTATAGCGATTCAAAGAATGCAACGTTTTTAATTTCATCAGTGACTGATCAATAAACCTTACAAGGTCAAGAAAAGCCAAGGGTAATGTCTTCCCCTTTTCTCAGTTTTTCTCCACAACCATCTGAGAGTGGCATCAGTGGTGCTATACCTTTGACAAAGCCACATTATTGGTACTAATTTTCACAATGTCACATAGGTGCTGGTCGAAGATCCATTCAGATTTTCATTGTGTGTGATAGGAAGCAAATTGGACAATAGTTAGAACAATCTGCCGGATCCTCTTTATTCTTGAAAAAGATGCTTGTGGCCCAGTCAGCAGACACGTTTCCAGAGCCCACAATAGCAGTGAAGAAATTTGTTAGCCATTTGGCTGCTTTGCCACTAAGTTCCTCCAGTTTTCAAATGTCTAGTGCTTTTGAATCCCTCATTCCATGGGTAGCTTTGGTAACCTCTTTCTTCTTGATGTTAGTACTTGTATTTGATGAAAATAGACTTCTACTGATGGTACTTAAAAGCTGATGGTCATCAAATAGTTCCCTTGCATCCATTTAGTGACAACCATACATCCCCTCCATTTTTTTTTTTACATGTAATGGGTTGAAATTTGTCATTTTGTATTTCCTTTTCTTTTTTTCCCTTTTTTCTTTTCTTTTCTTTTATTGTTAACTTCCTCATTAATAACCTTGTACTCTGCTCTGGGAAGTGAGGGGGGGAGGGTTGAGGGTGGGTGGGTGGGTGAGTGGGTGGGTAAGGATTATATAGATATGGTAGTTTACGAGAGACGTGCTGCTTGGGCATTGAAATCTTTAATTTCAGTCTATCTGTATCATCGTATATAAATTAAATATTTAAAGGCATATTACATTGATTTGTACAACACAATTATGAAACTAAAAATGTTTTGCAACGTTGTTATCATTAATCATTGTAACTGGATGGGGGTGAGGTATTCCTATGAATACTTCAGGTCCCTCAAAGCTCTTAAGATATCTTACATTCCCTTATGGTACATGGACATTATTTTTTCCTATGTAACTTTTTTTGGGGGGGAATAGATAATTACTAAAGTATGGAAATTTGCTCCAGTCAAATTTAGTTTTCTGGTCTGAAAAGAACATACATACAGTATTATTTCTACATGAAATTTTAATTCAGTTTTTTTTCTTTAACTCATATAAAATCCTAAATATCATCCTCCAAATCCAGACTCAGGTTTTTGAAGCAACAATATTCACTAAATAGTTTCTATGTTGTTTGTCAATTTGAATATAAACTAATGCCCCTTTATTGGCTAGAAACATTCATTATATTATATTTTATAAGAGCAATATAATAATTTCATTCTATCTGTACATTAATTTCTTGTAAAACTGCAGAAGACTACAAAAAATAGTCATAACATGGACACATTTGAATATTAAAAGAAATATATGTGTACTGCAGTAGATTTACAAATCATGGAGAATTGAATATAAGAGTTTGTTTTTTTCCCCACTTATTCAGCTGTTTTAGACTCCATGTTTCTATTTTAGAAAAAATGACCATCTCTATAGATTCTAGCTATATTGTGGATCTTTGTAGCAGTTTTGCTACTACAAGCATTGATATAAGAATGTATGCTATTTGTATTCTGAAAAAAATGATGAATATTTATTCTATTATTTATTCATGAATTTATTATTTGTTTTTTACCTTCAGAAAATGAATTTGGAGAAAAACTGGTGAATTCAACGCAGTGAGAGGCTTGGAAAACAGACTGGACCAAAGAACAAGTATATTACTGAACAATTTCAGGTACAATTGAACAATATACTATTGAGAATTTATTGACAAAAATCAATAATACCTTTGCTCTTTTTTTATTTTGCTACTCTTGGTAGCCCCTGTGACTTTATGTGGCTGTTTCTAAGATGCAGCATTCGTAAAATGAAAGTTCACATTATAAAGATTAAAGTATTATCAAAGTACAGTATGTGCATATATCACTTCTGTTGATGCAATTATATAAACAGCACAAAGGACTATCAATTCCAAAATAGTGTTAACTTACCATAGCATTTTCTCAATGTAAAAATGAAAATTGTGAGGAAATATCAAGCAGATATATATGCAGATTTCAGGATTTCTTTTACAATATGGATGTGTTCTCACATACACATGTTCACATGCATAAAAAATTAGTTGTATTTCTTTCTGTAGTGAGTGTACTTTTCTAGTAGCTCTAGAAAGTACAGGTTAATTTGTGTGGGTTTATGACACTCAACAATCTAAGAATAGAAATGAAGTGCATAATTGTGCTAGGAAATTTGTTTTTGTAAGGTACTCCTTATTTATATTGCCACTTTGAGACAAAGTTTCTGAAAGAATTGCTACATCATTTTGCCGGAAGCTAAATTATATAGTACCTGATTTGTAATCTTGTAGAGGAGGGCAGAAAGATATCTAGTAAATTGTTTCATATATTCTTGTATATATTAAAAAATAGGATACAGGTTGCATCTAATTGCCTCAGATGTGACCTAGCAATGCGTTCTTGCAATCTGTCATTATTAACGGTATCTAATCTATACCTGCAACAAGGAATAATGTTCATTTTTATAAAGTCCGTTTTGTTGTTTTCACTCTAATAAATGTTGGAGTTGTTTCCACCACTCCCTCGGGTGATAGAGATCCGAATTACATAATTCTTTACCCAGTAACCTTAATTTTTTTGAGAAAAAGGTAAAATATAAATGCAATAACAAAACTATACATTTGTTATTTTTTTACAGAAGTGTTCTTTATGGGACATATTACTGATTGATTTCTCCCTGTTTAGAGAATGAACTATACATTTTGAAATGTATCAGTTTAAAACAATTAGATCAAGTTAAAATGACTTCAATTTCTAACATCACTGATCATTCACAATGTGAACATTTTTCAGTATTTAAGAAATATGTTTTTAGAAAACTTTAGGCAAGCCTCAACTTTCATTGTCATAGATTACAACTACAAAAATTGTGGCCTTGTCAATATCTACCTCTGTGGTCAGTACAATGTTTCTACAATTTAATATTTAACTAGCTATGGTATAATCTTTCTCTGAAGTAGCAGTTGCCTGATTATTTCATCTGTGCTAAATTTTGTGCCTAGAACGTACAATGTCCGTGAGCCCTTCAACTTCTTGTCTGCATTGGGTTAGACCTTCGTATTGACATACAGTAACTTGCTTTTTTAATATAAAATATTGAGCAGCAGAGTCAAGCACTATTGTCTTTTGCTTTCAACAATAGTTTTGTAGTTCACTTTTTTATTTCCAGCCATATAAGGAATATTAGCAGCATGTTTGAGGAGGCTGAAGTTTTTACCAGCAATATTAATTTCACTTTCTATTTACTGTAGTTTAGCATTTCTCATGATATGTTCTGTACATATGTTAATGTACATAAGTAGGCAATATACTGTGCACACATCCTTCTCAATCTTGAACAATTTAGTCATTGCATATTTCTTCTAACAATTGTGTCCTGGTCATTTTGAAATTATTCAATGGGCAAGTGAGATGGCCTGGAACACTCAGGCTTTTAATTTGCTTTAATCTGCATAATCAAAAGCCTTTGTAAAATCAAAAAGGCAAACTTTTCTGGAACTTGTTTTTCCTATTCATTTTATATTAGCCATATCATCATGGATGTCTCTGCCTTTTAATCAGCTCGTATATCAACAGTTCTCATGCATTTTTGAAATCTGGGTTGCAAAATCTTGACTATTATTTAAAAAATATAAAAGATAAATACAAGGGTTCAGTAGTTAGAGCAATCTTTATTACTATTCTGATTCTGATCGGAATGTAATTTATTTTTTTTAGTCCATTGGCCACTGCTACTTTTCTGTAACTAATTAGAAACCACATATGCCACTTAACTTCGTCATCTTGTAAGTTTTTAATTATTTCTGCGGTCATCAATTCTTGCAGCTAAGTTGTTAGCAATCTTTTCTTAGGGCCTGTTTAATTTCACCTGCCAGAAAGTCTGGCTCTAGTTCAGTGATCAAACCTTTGTATAAATCACTGATTCTAAGATCTTTTTCATACAGATCTTCCATATATTGGTATCATCTGTTTCTATCTCTTCTAGTAATTATTGCCTTTTCTGTTTTTTTGTCATGCCTATCTGTCTAAAAAGGTTCCCTTGGTTTCTTTGCCCTTAAATAAATATATTGTCCCTCCATTTGATGGCTTTCCTCAGTTTCTTAGTATTGCTTATTTAAATATATCACATTTCTTCTTGCTCTTCTTTGGCATTCAGCATTCAATTGCACAGTATCATCTTTTTCTTTCCACATTTCTTTAGCAATTTTCACCTTCTCAACCAATTTTGCATTTTTTTTCTAATTCTATCATTTGATAGTATTTTTCTTTACTTCCTTTTTTAAACAATATTTTATTGTTTTTTATAATTACAAATGCTTAATATTTTATCAGCAACATATTGTCTGGGTTCCAATATTTAGCTTACCTATACATGTTAAACTCTTTTCTCTCTACCTCATTTTTCTAGCCATTGATAAAATGTATCCCATATGCTAAAGTATTGTGAATCTTCTTTCCCTTTTATTTTCAATGTAAGTCTGTCCATTTCTGCACAGTCCAAAATTTTCTTGATTATCTCTTCCTGCGCTGGTAATTCTTCATCTTGAGAAAATACAATTCTCGCTGCAGTTAGTACATGTAACATTACATATACACATTCTTTCTCATAGTTTCCTACAATTACACCTAACAAAAATAATTCTGGCTTAAAATCTACATGTTTTTTATCATTTTCTCTAACTTTACTTTTTTAATGATACCATGAATTTTAGTCCTTAAGCTATTATATTTGTGAACTATAATTAATTACAGCCTTTCATTATGGTTGCCTCATAATCACATGGTATACTACTGAAGTTGTAGGTTTTTGGTCTGATGATTTTATTTTTATTCTTTAATTTAAGTTCTAATTTTGTAAGGTCTTGATAATCTGTTCTACAGGTCTATTTTTTACAGATAGAATGTAAACTCAATATTTAATTCAGGATCTAATATCTTGCTAAAATTTGCTACAATAATAGGGTAATTATAGGTATTGTTTAAATTATAAAAGTATTCATAATGCTGTCATCCATGCTAAGACCATAAAGATCATAACCTTTGTTATTGATCAAAATTATAGCTCAAAAACTTTACCAACTAGAATGAAGAAAAATAATTTACGTCAGTTATGTCATAAGAAAAAAGGAACATTTCACTTCTGTTTTGCATGTGCCTGTATCTTTTCCCTCTCAACCAAGCATGATCATAAACAACTTCATCCTTAAATTAATAGAATAAAAAATGTAACCAAAGAAAAGTTGTGAGGAAGAAGAAAAGAATGGGAAGAAAAGAAATAAGGCACAAGGTAGTTTAGGAGTATGCTTAGACATTTGATTAGGTTTGGGAATAAGGCAGAAGTTACTACACAGTGTACACATGCCTTTGGTTTTAATCCAGCCACTTCTGAAGTAGCAGGTTTACTTGGACTTGTTTTCTACTCTTCTTCAGTAGTTTATTGGCTCTTTCCAATTTAGGATTAATATTAATGATAACATATTAAACAATACCATCTATTGAGTTATAGGGAGCATGCTTTCTCTGTTGTGACACCTGCCCTTTCAAATGACATCCTTGATTCATGTGGCACCCATTTTGATAACATTTAAAATATCCTTGAAAATTTAGCTGTTCCCCTTGGCCTTTGATAGAGTCGTATCAAGCCCATATAGAATTTTATTTGGTTGAGTCTTTCTTCCAGATATATGTCATCTTTGTTCTCATTGTTTGACTGTTTTCCTGCTTTTAATGTTGTAAGCTGCCCAGAGTCTTCTTGAATGGGGAGCCACTAAGTTGAATGAATGAATGAATGTTGATGGTTGAGAAGGAGAGTCGGGAAGAAGAGATTGTGCTATACAAACAGAAGAAAAGGAGCTTAATAGGACTACATGGATTATTTTATGGCCTGCGATGTCTACCTTTGAAGTTAATAAATTAATAATTTATGACCAATCCCCCCCTCCCTTGTGATGGTTTCTTTCAAAATGAATCACACAGATAACTATAATATCTGGAAGATTCAGATTACAAGGATCTCTTCTAGTGCTGTTTACATTTTGAGCCTCTATAAAAGTGGCCCATAATTAATCTTATAATGATATGATAATGTCAGATGTAAGATTTCTACAGAAAAAAATCATTCCAAGAGTAGTGTTCACTTACTTGCTTCCTTTACTAAGTGAAAATATATTCCTGCAAAATTAAATTTGCCTGTATGCGCAGTAAACATAAAATAAGACTTGTATAATGGAAGTATTTAGATAAACTTTTAGATTACATCAGCAGTTAGTAATTCAATGTACTGTATGGAAATGCCAACAAAACCACCATCTTCTATCATTCTATCCAGTATGTATATATGTATGAATCTTAGTCTGTCTTGCAGAAATGTTTATAGAATCCATGTTTATGGGAGCTGTTCTGTTGTAGCCTGGGGGTACATACTGTATAGGTAATATTTGCCATAATAGTCTAGTCATGTGGGGATATATATATAGATATAGATATAGATAGATATATAGATATAAATATATATAAATATGTTACAATAGAGCACATTTTTTTTGCTCGGATCTTACCTCCATTTAATGGACCACTGTGAAATCAAGGCTTTGTCCATTAAACTGAGATATATTTGCAAATGACACTGTTAATGTCAATTGTATAATCGTGCAATTATATA